CTTGTGTAGTCCTGCAGCTCCACCAAGTGGCCCACAGTGTGTTCTGAGGCTGAAGTGGACCTGGAGGAGTTGTGCTGACATGTACTATTTTTAATTTCAAAAATAAACTTTATTCGTCCAAGGTTCTTGAGTAGATTTGTGGCTCGGGTTGTGGATGTTGTGGTTGGTTGGCTCGCCGAGCAGGTTCGTTAGTTCGCAAACGTTTCATTACCCTGCTGGGTAACATCATCAGTGCAGCCTCCGATGGGCATCAGAGTGGCACACAAACCTACGTCAACCCTATGCCAACTGCTAACTCGAATCAAAGACCCCTTACCCACTATGGACAGAACCAACATAATATACACGATTCCATGCAAGGCCTGCAACAAACATTACACTGGACTGACAGGAAGGAAATTGGCTATGAGAATACATGAACACCAACTAGCAACAAAAAGACATGACCAATACTCACTCATCTCCATTCACATGGATAAGGAGAACCACCAGTTCAATTGGGATAACACCAGGATCCTAGGACAGGCCAAACAGAGACAAGTACAGGAATTTCTAGAGGCCTGGTTCTCCACCAAGAAGGCCATCAATAAACACGTAGAGCTAGACCCTGTATACGCACCACTGCAAAGGAAAACCAGAAATGAGGTAACCAATTCCAACAGACCCCAGAGTTTAAATACCAGGCGGGAAAACACAACAGTGCTTCATCAGAGGCTGCACTGATGATGTTACCCAGCAGGGTAATGAAACGTCTGCAGAACAACGAACCAGCTCGGCGAGCCAACCAACCACAGCATACTTTATTCATCAAAGTATATCAAAATTCATAAATATACATAGTCACTAACGCAGTTCGGTTCGGTGGAGGCAGGTTCAATTGAGGAATCAAGAGGGGCATTGGATGGCTTTTGGATGGTAATGGTATGCAGGGAAATGAGGAAAAGGCAGGAGATTGGCACAGGATAATAGAGCCAGACTAGATAATAGAGATAATAAAGGCTTGATGGGCCGAACAGCCTTCTGAATTGTCATAGTAATTCTGTTGTTCTGTGATATTCTGTCTGTAGATGGAACTAATTTTAAAGCTCAGAAAGGTTCTGCAAAAATAACCCCCACCCATCGGTTATCAGGTGGCACTGGGATTGTGTGCAGTGGATAAATGTCAGTAGGGTTTACATTGCTGTGGTATTTGTATCCGTTCTGTTAAAAGGGGTAATGTCCTTGGGCTAGTAATTACGAGACCCAGGCTAATGTTCTGGGGGCATGGGTTTAAATCTCACCGCAGCATCTCGTGGAATTTAAATTCAATGAACATGTCTATGTGATGGTGACCACAGTAACCACTATCTTTTGTTGTAAAAGCCCATCTGGGTTCACTGATGTAAGGAAGGAAATCTGCCATCCTTACCCAGTCTGGCCTCCAAGCCCACAGCCTCGTGGCTGACCCTTAACTGCCCGAGAAAGCCACTCCGTTCAAGGGCCGTTAGAGAGGAGTAACAAAGTCTGGCCTTGCTCAAGAAAACCCAGATGAAGTATTTTGTAATGATATCCTGCTGAGAATATCAACTATCACATTGCTTGCTGCAGTACTGATCTCACTGAGCAATATAAATGGCACATATTTCTCATTCCTTTCCAAAAAAATGCAACTTTAGTCTAGGTGATGTATATTTCATGCTTTATGTGTTGTGGAGGATAGTCTTGCGTTGGTAAATCAACAGTTGGCTAAGTCGATTTGTCTTGTTTCATTCTGGACCATCAACTTCCAAACCATTTCCTGCTCAGTGAGTTCATCCCCCGACCATCTCTCTTTGTCTCTCTCTAATTTGTTACGAGGATGGTGTATCTCTGTGGCAATCTTCCCCCTCATTCCCCAGTGGAGAATCAGGCAGTTCTATCCAGCTCCAGTTAATGCCGTTTTGTGATGTTTATCAGACAGCTGAACTTGCCGTCTTACAGCACCATGAAAAACATTAAGTGACATTGCATTCAGTCATTGTCTGAATCACTTACAACACAGCAGGGCTGCCGAAGGTAGGCACTTTGGGCTGATTTTTCAGGTCGTTAGAGATCAGAGACAATCAAGACCCCAGACCTGTTGGTGCCTTCGAATCGACATTCCCAGCCTAGTTCTTAGTGGCAGACAATTTGGGGGAGTGGGGTCAGGACCAGCAGATCGAATCTGTCTTAAATCTTATAAAGGTTCCCTCAGATTAAAAACCGAAAGAACTGCGGATGCTGTAAATCAGGAACAAAAACAGAAGTTGCTGGAAAAGCTCAGCAGGTCTGGCAGCATCTATGAAGGAAAAAGACGATAACTCTGCTTTTTCCTTCATAGATGCTGCCAGACCTGCTGAGCTTTTCCAGCAACTTTATTTTTTGTTCCTCAGATTAACCCCCAACCATGCTATGAATAGCTGCACTGGGGTTGTGTACAGTAAATAAGTGACAGCAGGGTTTTAGTTGCTGTGATTGCAGCTATGGTATCTGTATTTGTTTTGTTGTGAGTGTTAGTATCCCTGGAGTAGACCCAGGCTAATGGACATGGTCCCTTCCCAGCGGCTGAGCTGCAAACCCACATGGCTTAGGCTCCATACTATAGAGGCTGACGGAGATTTTTCCAGTCAGCATCTGGTTTCCCAATATGGAGGAGCAGGAAGTTGCAGATCAATTGACTGGAGCCAGGCATTCATTTTGAGTAGGCGTCGATGTACAATTGTTTACCTTGCCTGGTCGAAAACCTTTCTAATATACACAAACACACATTAATGCTGAAAACTAACTCTCACAAACTGTCCTAAAAGAAATCACCGTGACTACAGAAATTCTTAATAATTACTTATTAAACTCTTCAGTCATACAGAAAATCCCATATGTCACTAATTCAAAATTGTAGAAGAAAATAGATTATTTTCTTACACTTTTAACAAGGTGGTCTCTCACTGTAATGTATGCAGATTTTGTGTTAGCAATACAAATGGAAGTTTATTAGAAAATGATTAGAAATGATTTTAAACACAAGGTAAAAGTATAATTACATTAATCCTAAAATACTCCATTATAAACTCCCAAAACATCCCTTGTACTTTTCGCAACTTCAAGAAAAAAATCATTTCCTGACACCTTGACAGGTTTAAGTTAACTGTGAAAATCTGAAAGCTCATTCCTGGAGCTTTCAAACACCCGAATTTAAATGTTCTCTGTTTCAAATAACCACTTTAGGGCTTTATCCAAATGCTTTTGCTCTGAAACTACCACCAACCTTATTCTAGGGTAATCCGTTTTACTATCTTCCCACCTTCTCAGGACCATTGCTTTACGTAACCAGTTTCATCCAAGGATTTCTTCAGGACTGCCCAAAACTAAAACTAAAACTTAAAGGTGAATCTTTCTAAGCTGCAGGTGTTTCCCCTGAGCTTAAAAAAGTCCAGAAATTTCTAACAGACATTGATGCACCTGGCTCAGTCAAACTCCCTCAACGTACACAAAAATGCATTATTTCTGAAACGTAGCTCTCACAGACTGTTTTAAAAGAAATCACCATGGTTTGAAAGTTAATCATTAAACTCTTCAGGCACACAGAAAACCCCCTATGTCTTATCATAGAATCCCTACAGTGTGGAAACAGGCCCTTCAGCCCAACAAGTCCACACCGACCCTCAGAGCATCCCACCCAGACCCATCCCCGTATAACCCACCTAATCTACACATCCCTGAACACTACGGGCAATTTAGCATGGCCAATCCACCTGGCCTGCACTCCATTGGACTGTGGGAGGAAACCAGAGCACCTGGAGGAAAGCCACGCAGACACGGGGAGAATGTGCAAACTCCACACAGACAATCGCCCGAGGGTGGAATCAAACCCGGGTCCCTGGCGCTGTGAGGCAGCAGTGCTAGCCACTGAGCCACTGTGCCACCCATAAAGTTCATTCAAAATCAAAAATCCAAACTTAAAATAAATGATGATAAGCATATTTATAAATCAGTCTTTTTCACACTTTCTCTTTACCACAGATAGAGTGATAGAGTTGTACAGCATAGAAACAGACCCTCGGTCCAACTCGTCCATGCCGACCAAATATCCTAAATAAATCTAGACCCATTTGCCAGCATTTGGCCCATACCCCTCTGAACCCTTTCTATTTATATACCCATCCAGATGCCTTTTAAATGTTGTCATTATACCAGCCTCCACCACTTCCTCTGGCAGCTCATTCCTTACAAGCATCACCCTCTGCGTGAAAAAGTTGCCCCTTAGGTCCCTTTTACATCTTTCCTTTCTCACACTAAACCTATGCCCTCTAGTTTTGGACTTCCCCCAACCTGGGAAAACGACCTTGGTTATTCATCCCATCCATGTCTCTCATGATCTTATATATCCCTATAAGGTCAGCCCTCAGCCTCCGACACTCCAGGGAAAATATCCCCAGCCTATTCAGCCTCTCCCTCCAAATCCTCCAACCTGGAAACATCATTGTAAATCTTTTCTGAACCCTTTCAAATTTCACAACATCCTTCCAATAGAAGGGAGATGAGAATTGAGCACACTATTATTAGCCTTTCTGAAGGTGAAAGGCCTATGATTGGCCCTTCAGCTTCAAGAACTTGTCATTCGTTGGAGAACGAACATGTCTCCGCGTGAAACCGAAACCATTGCTCCCCATCCACAAACCCCTTTGGGTCTTTACTCAGGAGCCAGAAACAGTCTTTGGCTGAAGGTTAGCCTGTTGTGTGGTATAGGATCAGAGCTGTGTCTAACTCTGCAGCCTGTCAATATTCTGACTGAGACTAGGCTGTACCTGCTTTTAGATTACAGCACCAAATCCCAAACTAACTGCTAATTCCATCAATGGCACACTTCTGTTGGTTTTCAATTAAATTAAAATATAAATTGTAGCGGTAAGTTTTATTGTGTGTTTTCCCATTTGCATTCCCATTTCCAAACCTAAATCCCTGCTCTTCCAGATTGTTTAACTGTTACTTTTCCTGTTTTACAGTGCGAGACGCAAAAAATCTAATCCCCATGGATCCCAACGGTCTTTCAGATCCCTACGTAAAACTCAAACTCATCCCTGACCCTAAAAGTGAAAGCAAACAGAAAACAAAAACCATGCGCTCGACACTGAACCCCACCTGGAACGAAACCTTCACATTGTGAGTACGTTTACTGTCTCCACTATCTCGACAGGACCATTGGAAAATCTTTTCAGATTTATTTTCCACAAGAATAAACATTTCATGTCCCAAATATTATATTTCATAAGTACTATTTATTGTGTTGTATCCTTAACCTCATGGAACATGTGACATTTTTCCCTTGTACACAGACTCTGTGTGTGTGAGAGTGTATCTGTATGTGTGTGTCTGAGAGTGTGTCTGTGTGTGACTGCAAGCACACATGTGGCAGGGGTGTGTGTGCATGTGTGTGTGTGCGTGTGTGTGCGTGTGTGTGTGTGTGTGTGTGTGTGTGTGTGTGTGTGAGAGTGAGAGAGAGAGAGTGAGAGGTCTGTTCTTTCTTGTACATGGACTGTATATGCATAGATATATACATGACAGTTATCCTTTATATATGGTTAATGACCATGCATGTGTGTGTGTGATACTGTTTCCCCTTGTACACAGATTCTGTCAGTGGGTCTGACAGTTAGCTCTTGTGTATGCAGTGTGCGTGCATGTGTGATAGCTGTCCTGTGTGTACAGACTATGTGTGACGGAGAGAGGATCTCTCCCTTGTACCTGGACTGTGTGTGACAGTGGAGACGGCTGCAGGAGAATTGTATCACTTGTAATTGCTTAATATTTTTTGCCCAATTAACAAGAGATAATTTGTGATTTCACAGTCCTAACCAGAGTTGGAGGGGAGAGAGTCCTTTGGGAAGTTGTGAGACTATGACAGGATTCTCTGTCCCAGCCACTGAAAATATGCTGGAGGTGCCAGGTGCTATCCAATGGGTTATTAAACCGGGGATCTTTATTTTTATTCATTCATAGGATGTGGGTGTCGCTGGTTGGCCAGCATTTATTGCCCGTCCCTAGTTGCCCTTGAGAAGGTGGTGGTGAGCTGCCTTCTTGACCCGCTGCAGTCCATGTGCTGTGGGCTGACCCACAATGCCATTAGGGAGGGAATTCCAGCATTTTGACCCAGCGACAGTGAAGGAACAGCAATAAATTTCCGAGTCAGGATGGTGAGTGACTTGGAGGGGAACCTGCAGGCGGTGGTGTTCCCATGTGTCTACTGCCCTTGTCCTTCAAGGTGGTAGAGGTCAAGAGTTCAGTAATTTACCATCAGCTACACCGAGCAATGAGGTGCAGTTAGGGTAGTGGGAGGGTGAGAAATTGGAACATTGTATGTTATTAATGCTGGAGTCTTTAGCTTTAACCCATTTATTAATGTTTGATGAAAGTGACACAAGTTGTACAATTTCTCTCTCTGTTTGTCCAGTAAACTGAAAAGTAGTGACAAGGATCGGAGACTGTCGGTGGAGATCTGGGACTGGGATCGGACCACAAGGAACGATTTCATGGGGGCTTTGTCCTTCGGTGTATCCGAGCTGATGAAATCCTCCGCAGTTGGTTGGTAAGTGTGTGCTCCTGAGATCACTCCCAATAAAATCCCCGAGGGAGACAATTCAGGTGGTCATCGTGTTGAAGTGGATAAGGTCACACCTGGAATACAGACAAGAGATAATGTGAATTTGCTTCCTTGGATTGAGGAACACAAAATAAGAGAAGCACAATGTGAAAATTAACGCTTGCCCATTTGGGATTCGAATTGAGGAAAACTTCCTCACGTAGTCAGCTGTGGAATTCTGATGATCCCTTTCCCAGAAAACTGGGGAGAGTTTGCAAGGTCCAAGACTGAGGACAATGCATGGATATTGGGATGAAGAGATCTGGGGCAAAGGCAGACCCATGGGGTTGAGGTACAGATCAATCACAGTCTGATTGAATGGAGTCCTCACATATCACCCCACTAACCTCCGTATTCAATGTATCATTCTCCGCCACTTCTGCCACCTACAATCCGACCCTACAACCAAAGATATATTTCCCTCCCCACCCCTATCTGCCTTCCGTCAGGACTGCTCTCTCCATGACTCCCTCGTCCACTCCACACTCCCCACTAGCCCCACCACCCCCGGCACCTTTCCCTGCAACCGCAGGAAGTACTACACCTGCCCCTACACCTCCCCCCTCACCCCGATCCAAGGCACCAAACAAACCTTTCACATCAGACAGCGCTTCACCTGCACATCTGTCAATATGGTCTCTTGCAGATGCTGCGCCCAATGCGGCCTCCTTTACGTCAGTGAGACCAAGCGGAGGCTCGGAGACCGCTTTGTAGAGCAGCTATGCTCTGTTTGTGACAAACAACACCTTCCAGTCGTGAACCACTTCAACTCCTCCTCCCACTCCCTGGGTGAGATGTCCATCCTGGGCCTCCTCCAGTGTCACAACGACACCACCCGGAAACTGGAGGAGCAGCACCTCATATTCCGCCTCGGGAGCCTACAACCCAGTGGTCTCAATGTGGACTTTACTAATTTCAAAATCTCCCCACCCTCGGCCTCATCCCATGTCCAACCCTCCCTTTCATCCCTGCCTCCTTGATCTGACACAACCTGTCCATCTTCTCTCCCACCTATCCGTCCCTCCCACCGCATTGACCAATCCCCACCACTGCCTACCTGTACTCACCTATCACCATCCCACCTACCTTCCCCAGCCCCACCCCTCCTCTCTCTATTTATTTCCCAGCTCCCTTCCCCCTCTCCCATTTCTGAAGAAGGGTCCCGATCCAAAATGTCAACTTTTCTGCTCCTCTGATGCTGCCTGGCCTGCTGTGTTCCTCCAGCTCCACGCTGTGTTGTCTCTGACTCCAGCATTGGCAGTTCTTACTATCTCTGATTGAATGGAGCAACTAGTTTGAGGGGCTGAATGGCCTCATGCTGTTCCTGTGTTGGCACTCTCTTATCTGGAAGTCAAACCTCTCTGTACAGACACTAGCAGGGTTAGACTGGTCAGGGTTGAAATGGGTGATGGTGGGAGAGATGGGGGTGCACAGAGGATCCTTAAGCACTCGGTGAGCCTGGTTTGGTTCAATGCTCCATACAACGCCGAATGCAAAATAGCCGCTAGGGAGCAAGGCCAGCTCATCCTGTGGACTGAAACCTTCTGCTCTTAGTCAGTGTAGAGATGACTCCGACCACTAAGAATCATAATAGCACACAAACCCACAGCTACACTACAACAACTACTGACAAGAGCAAAGGATCCCATTCCCACAACTAATAGGACCAACGTTGTATACAAAATCCTATGTAAGAACTGCCGCAAACACTATATCCTGTGGTTGGGTGGCTCGCTGAGCTGGTTCGTTGTTCCGCAGATGTTTCATTACCCTGCTGGGTAACATCATCAGTG